GGCCGTTGACATTTTGTTGTACACAGATACACTGTGTGGGCAGAATATATAGCAACTCAGTCCGTACCTCACAGGAAACACATTACATCTCCGCTACAAAGCCCAACCGGTTAATGCTGTTTAGGGAAACACTTGCTGTTTATTGTGAGAACCATACGGAACACACAGATACACTGTGTGGGCAGAATATATAGCAACTCAGTCCGTACCTCACAGGAAACACATTACGTCTCCATAACAAAGCCCAACCGGTTAATGCTGTTTAGGGAAACACTTGCTGTTTACTGTGAGAACCATACGGAACACACAAATACACTGTGTGGGCAGAATGCAGAGTTTTGGTATGTTAAAGCACGTGATACATATAGTAACCATTACGTCTGAAAGGGTTATTACTTAATTCATAATTAAAGGAGGTTGCAGTAAAATTATCCGAAGGCTGGCGTTCTGACGGATGCAGCAGCTGCCTCCCACTAACTCCTGTTGCTGTCTCCACGCGGCCAGCCCGGTACGCCGCTAATTTAAAGTCTCTCCATCAGGGATACACATCTATACGAACCGAGAAAATAAAGTAAGAATTTACGAAGATAACAGATCAGTTTATTTCCAGAAAGCAAGGATGGCTATTACATTTCCTTCTCTAATTGAAGTAAGTACATTAAACTCTTGGATATGTAATTGTCAGAACTGAGTTCGCATTTTTTAAAAACTGATTTTAAGCGTAATTTGTCTGAAGCCAAGCATGAGACGCTTCACAGGGGTAACATACTCGTATTTACCCTCGTCTACAACTTAGCACACGCAACTCACATAAATATTTCTCATAAATTTCTGTACGAGAACATTCAATAAAATATTGGATTTGGAATTCCCCCATGGTAATATTAAGATAAAGAATTTATGGGATTTGACAACGTATAGTCTGGTAGATGGTTACCAGCGTTTGATTTAGCAGTAACATTCAGGCATTGTATTCAAGTGATACTCTGTTCGAACCTCAACCGGATCACAGTACGTCCTGTCTTAGATTTTTTGTTATTTTCCTCAGGCCTCCCAGGGAAATGCCAGGATAGTACCTCGGTTATTCCGAGACCTTCCAAATCCTTTTCAGTTCATCATTCATTACTCATCTTTCCATTCGACACTGAACAGTCTGAGCTACTGACTTCTTCTCTTCCTCGTGGATAATTTACTGAAGCCGTTAATGAATCCCCGATATAACGTCGAATATTTGAATCATACATGAATTGGAAGGGATCTGAAAGGAAGAAATCGTGATGTAATTTTAGGTGATAACTCGGCATTTTCCTTTAGGGACTGAGGAAATCCACGACAAACTTCTGTCAAGATATCCGGTGTCCCAGCCGAGTCCTGAGAACTACCGCTGAGCCAGCCTGCTCGGGGACACAGCCGCCAAATTAGCCACAGATAATTAATATATGTGGCATAACACTCAGACATGCATTGGTTACCCCTGGGATAAGTTTATTCTGCTACCTGTCTGTTGATTCACGGACAGCCATGTACTTAATTCGCCGGAAAGAATGCCTCTCCGTCTTACTTACATTCCTGACAGCCATTGCTCAGTGATGACAAAATTTGGCTTGGCTTCGCTGCACATTCTGCTTGAGTTCTCGCTTCAACCGAAATGTGCCGCCACACACGTCTATCATGACGTCATTTCCGCAAACATGCCCCACATACAACGGTTCTTTCGTCAGTCTTAAATTTATATTGAACATTTCTTAATCAATTTGGGTTTTGTAATATTCATAATGGGGGCACGAGGTAGCGTAGTTGGTCGAGGCACTATGCTGCCACCCGGAAGGTCGCGGGGTCGATTCCCGGTGAGGTCATTTGATTTTTCAGTTGACCTAATCCTTCCAGCCGCACTATGGCCCTGGGGTGGACTCAGCCTCTAACAGAAATGAGTACCAGGAATCTTCCTGTGGGTATAGGGCGGCCGGCGCCTAAGGCATGTTGGGCGCCAGAGCCGGTCTGGACGCTGTCGGGAATCGAATCTGTCCTGCCTGTAGCTCGTTGCTATACCGACTGAGCCATCCAGAATGATAATTGCAAGAAATTTAAGATCTGAGCTGGCTTTACACCAGACACAAAAATGTGAACACTCGAGAGGATCCAGACCGTAAGATAAGCAGCATTTCTATTCATGGATAATGTATACAAAAATATAAATTTTTTTTTTGTTCTCGCTAAACAAAATTGAAGACGTTGTCTGACCTGATGCTGTGCCGACAGAATTTACGTACCTGTCAGTCAAAAATCTTGACGATTTATTTGTTCGTATGTCATGTGCGGACCTTATGTTGCCCGCGGGTCACTAGGTGGATCACGCTGTCATGTATGTCATTTACATGCAAAAATAAGACAAGTTCATTTTTGTCGGGATATTTACCGCGTTTACAAATCAGTTTTCCCTTTGCCAACAATTCTTCAATCTACGTAGCATAAGTAAGATTGAGGTACTCATGGAGGAACTATGTACATTACCATCTTCTAGGATGTGACGCCGTGTAATCTGGTAGATATCGGTGTGTCGAATGAACCGTCTAGATACGTTTAAAGGTCAGAAGAAGTTCTTCCGAAACGTCAACAGATGGCACGGTGTCACAACTTCAGTTTATACGAAGATCTAAATAAGTAATTGAGTCCATGGAGCTTAGCCCTTCTTGAGAAGCCGCCAGTCGCTCAGCTACTCAAGAAATTCCCAACATTTTATGGAACTTTAATATTTATTATCGTGTCACCACTGGGAAGACAATCCGTAGGTGGGTGGATAATAATAAAATGCATCTTAAGAGAGATAGGATGGGATGGTATTGAGTGGATCGATCTGGCTCAGGATA